GAAAAGAAACGAGCCATGCAACACGCTTAGAAGCTGAGAGAACAAAGGAATGAGGCTAATCAGGAGTTCGAACATAAACAAGCACAGATTGAGCAGCTCGAGTCACCGCTAATTAGCTTAAAGGAGAATTTTCAGAACCCTTACAACAACATTGGGTTCCTTCTTCAAATATAGAATGAGGCATTGGAGAAGAGGATAGCGGAGTTGGAGAGAGAAAAGTTGATCTACTCATCTGTACGAGAGATGGCCAGGCAGGAAAATGAATCCTTAAAAGTCAAGATTGTTGAGTTAGAAGTCATAGTACAGAGATGCAACCACTGACTAGTTTAGAACTGGGAATTGCGTTATGGCAGGCTAAGGACACCATTCAGAGGTAACATGAAGAAATGAAGAAGACAATGGATCAGGACAACAATGTTGCTCACCAAGTCTACGAGTTGTCTGAAGAAGCGACAACCCTAAGATTTTTTGTGATCCCAAAATCAGAGGAAGAGTGGCGCATCATAGAGTTGATGATAGAGCTCAAGAAATTAGGGGATAGGGCTAGATTTTATATTAGTCCCTTGTTGATGTACTCTCTTTACCTAAGTGCTTATGCATTATGTGTTGTTGAGAACTTTTTGTATGAACTAAGTTATTTTGGAATCAATATCAGTTGCATTTGCATTTTCATGTTTTTTCTAATGTTTAAATCTTAATGCTTGCATTAAAATAATTCATTCATTTAATAATTCACCTAATAATAAAATACAATTTCCGATCATTTGTAGTGATCCTCACATACACCTCACACCCATACGATACTCATAAGTCAACCTAGAAAATGGAAGAGAGACTAACCTGAATTGAACAAGACCACAAGGAAGCGCAAGAGGAAATGAGGGAAAGACTAACTAAAATGGATGGAAAACTCACAACTCGGTCTACTATAAAAGATCGAAGACATATTCAAGAAGTATTCTATGATTGGAAAACCACGGTTGACCGGTCAACGACATATGAGCAAAAGCCCTCGCATCCCCCAAGATTTGGACCGTGATCGTCGCATCCTACTGGGTTTGCATCCGACCCCTAAAACCCCTCAGGTTTCACACCGGACCCCCCGCATCCTCTCGGTTTCACACTAGTGAAAATTCTTGTTCGGTCTCCAACTCTACAGGAGATCCGCCCAGAATCTACGTAGCTAGCCAACAACACCACGCTGAGCCTGCATTCTAAATGAATTACCCACATATAGTAGAGGAACTTCCACCCGACTTTCATGAGATAGTGGAAAAGGAAAAGTCTAATAGCGAGATAACCCAACAATTGAAAAGTGTAAAGGAAAGTGTGGGGTCAGTAGAAGTGGAACCTTTTTACCGAATGGACGCAAGGGAGCTAAGCTTGGAATATACGACGGGACCACTTACCCATCGGCTCACCTCAACATGTTATGTAGGAGAATAACAGGCTATACTAAAAATGAGAAGCTTCTTATACATTGCTTCCAGGATAGTTTAACTGGATCGGCAGCTAAATAGTACAACCAGTTAACCAAATTCTATATCAAATTGTGGGGGGATTTGGCCCGGGCATTTTTAGAGTAGTATTGTCACGTCACTGACCTGGTACCTGACAGGTGGACGCTAAAAAATATGGAGAAATGACATAGCAAAATATTTAGGCAATACGCCCTAAGGTGGTATGATGTGGCATCACAAGTGCATCCCCCATTGCTGGAAAAGGAGGCTACAATTATTTTTGTGAATACCCTGAAAGCTCCATATCTGGGGCATCTGTTAGGAAATGCTACCAAAAACTTTCCCGACCTGGTCATTTTCGGTGAGCTAATTGAGAATGTCATTAGGAATGGCAAGATTGAAGGAGGAGAAGGGTCGAAGAAGCCATATTTTAAGAAGAAGGAAAACGATGTGAACCATGCAAGCACTTACCACAAGAACTGCACGGCCAATATTACAATCACCCAACCTAGGGTAGAGAAGGCAAACACCCACGAAAACAGGGGGCCAAGAAGGGAGAATATGAGACCAACTTTCTCATCAGTGCCAGTGTCGTACTCAGAAATTTATGCCTCGCTCTTGAAGGCAGATTTAATATTCCCTTACAAGTTAACCCCACTGTAGCCACCTTACCCTCATTGGTATAATGCCAATACCTACTGCGAGTACCATGCAGATCGAGAATTGCTCAGCTTTCAAGAGGGTTGTATAATACTTCATCAACATTGGAGATTTTGAATTCAAAACACCAGATGCGAACGCTCACCTCCTGCCCAATCAGAGGGTGAAAGAGTCAATATGATTGATGAAAGAGAGATTAGGACGACAAAGAGAGATGTATTAGAAGTAAAATCTCCTCTCAACTGGTGTTCAGGTAGTTTTGCACATCAGGAATGATTAAAGGTAGTCCCGAGTCAAGGTCATTAAGATGTGAAACATACTACGAATATCAAAAAAGGGAGAACCATGACATCCAGAGTTGCCACGAATTCTGAAGGTTACTTTAGAGGATGATGAACAACAGGGAAGTGGAATTCTTAGTAAGGAGGAGAAACCACGAGAGATGGGCACCTGTATGACTGATGGCTATAGCATGATGTCTGGGATGAGGAAAGATGAAGAGTGGATGGGAAATGCTCTGAAAGGACTATCAATCAACATGATTAGCGGAGGCAACCAACTGGAAAAGTTTCTAAGTGGAATCCATCTTTGCTTCCCTGGTGAAAAGCTCGACAACTGGACATCTGAATACCTTCCCATAGTTTTTAGGGTCAATCCAAAGTAATGCCCATAAATAATTTGTATTAGCATCTTAAAAGTACATATGGAACCTTTTGTGATACTTAATGATGATCCAATCAATTAATGAAAGATAAAATAGAAATAATTTTCATTTTTCACATTTTTTTCATTAAGTTCTTTGCATCATATTATTTATTCTATATTATTTATTTTTTACATTCCAATATATCCGAGCCAAATTTCATGTAGATGTCATGATAATACTAGCTTAACATTTCCTGAGGCCAGTTACAAGATAGATTTCAAGCGACCATTGTTTCTGGAAGAAGTCAATGAGTTCAAAGATGAAGAAGACTGTGAAGTCCCTAATGAGCTATTGAGATTGGTAGAAAGAGATGAAAAACATATTCTACCATACAAGGAAGAAACAGAACTCGTGAATTTGGGGACAGTGGAAGTACAGAGAAAAGTAAAAATTGGCACTACTCTATCCGCATAAATAAGGCTAGATTTGATAAGTCTGCTCAAGGAGTTTAAAAACATTTTGCTTGGTCGTATCAAGTTATGTCAGGGCTGAGCACTGATATGGTAGTCCACACATTGCATATTAAACCAGAATACAAGCCAGTTCAACAAAAGCTCAGAAGAATGAAACCAGATATGTTATTAAAGATTAAAGAGGAAGTAACAAAATAGATCAATGCAGGTTTCCTTCAGGAGACAACATATCCCGAATGGGTAGCCAATATAGTTCTGGTACCTAAGAAGGATGGGAAGGTCCATATGTGTGTGGATTATCGAGACCTTAACAGGGCTAGCCTGAAGGAAAATTTTCCCTTACCTCAAATAGACACTCTGGTAGATCAAAATGAACCTTGAGGACATGAAAAAACAACGTTTATAACCTTGTGGTGAACTGTCTGCTACAAAGTAATGTCATTCGGATTGAAAATTACTAGGGCAACCTATCATAGAACCATGGTGACTCTATTTCATGACATGGTGAATAAAAAATAGAAGTGTACGTAGATGACATGATTTCCAAGTCCCAAATGGAAGAAGGCATGTACAAAATTTGAGAAAATATTTCTAAAGATTAAAGAAGTACCAACAAAAGCTTAATCCAACTAAATGCACGTTCGAAATAAAATCAGGGAAACTATTGGTCTTCATGGTGAGCCAGAAAGAAATCAATATCGATCTGGATAAGGTCAAGGTAATTCAAGACCTTCCAGCACCTTGCACACAGAAAGAAATCCGAGGGTACCTGAGAAGACTAAATTATATATCGCGATCCATTTCTCAGCTGATTGATAAGTGTGATCTGGTATTCAAATTGCTCAAAAAGAATAATCTTAAGGTATGGAATAATGAATGCCAGGAGACTCTGGAAATTATCAAGAAATACTTGTTCAATGCCGCTATACTAGTAGCACTAGTACCTAGTAGATAGCTAATTCTCTACTTAACGGCTTTCGAGAATTTAATGGGCCCTCTACTAGGGTAACATGACAAGTCAGAAAGAAAGGAAATAGAAATTTATTACTTGAGCAAGAAGTTTACCGATTGTGAGACCCGGTACCCACCAATTCAAAATCTGTGTTGTGCCTTAGTTTGGGCTACCTGGAGGCTCAGACAGTATATGTTATACCATACCACGTGGTTGATATCGAGGATGGATCCACTAAAAGTTTTGATAGAGTCCCCTGCTCTAACTGGAAGACTGGCTAGATGGAAGATTTTGTTATCTGAGTTTGATATTGTATATGTGAGCCAAAAGGCAATTAAAGGAAGCGCCATAGCTGACTTTCTTGCAAGTCATTCCTCGAAGGACTACGAATCTCTTAACTTGAATTTCCCAGATGAGGACTTGATGTGCATCTCTACCGATGAAGAGCTCCAGGGGCAACAAATATTGGACCTTGTACTTTGATAGTGCCTCTAACGCTTTAGAAATGGAATTGGGGCAGTGTTGATTTCCCAGAGGAGATTTACTATCCTTTCACAAGTATATTAGAATTCTTTTGCACCAACAACATGGTCCAATACGAAGCGTGCATTATGGGGTTGAAAGTAGCCATTGAAAGAAAGGTTAAAGTGCTTTAAGTATACGGAGATTCCTCATTAGTAGTGTAGCAACTACGGAGAGAATAGGAGACGAAAGACTCGAAACTAGTTGAATATCGAAATTTGGTCCTCGAACAACTTAAAGAATTTTAGGATGTCACGTTCAGGTACCTCTCCCGAGAAGAAAATCAAATGGCTTATGCTTTGGCTACCTTAGCGGCAATGTTTAAAGATAATAAGAGAACGAACATGATACCAACAAAGATGCAAGTATACGAGATCCTGGCCCACTGCTATCACCTAGAAGAAGAAATAGATGGCCGCCATTCATGGTACCACAATATCTTACATTATATGAGATACCAAACGTATCCTCCTGGTGTATCTGAAATTGACAAGAAAACAATCAGAAGAATGGCAGGCATATACTTCCTTGATGGGGAAATCTTGTACAGAAGGGACAGTGACCTAGTTTTACTGAGATGTGTAACTACCAAAGAAACAAAGAATATGATGGAAGAGGTGCATGGTGGAACGTGTGGAACACATGCAAATGATTTATCTATGGCCAGAAAGATTATGAGATATAGATACTATTAGGTCACTATGCATACATATTGCGTAAATAATGTGAGAAGATGCCATAAATGCCAAATATATACGGATAAAATTCAAGCACCACCTTTACCTTTACACGTCATGAGTTCACTTGGTTGTTCTCTATGTGGGGCATGGACGTCATTGGGGTAATCACACCGAAAACTTCAAATGGGCATCGATTCATCTTAGTGACAATCAATTACTTCACAAAATATGTAGAACTTGCTTCCTATTCCAGTATCACGAGATATACAATTTGTATAATCATAAAGAGGGAAATAATATATGGATTTCTAGAAAGAATCATCACATATAATGCTACTAATCTGAACAACAAGTTGTGGATGAACTCTGTGTGCAGTTCAAGATAAAGCATGCCAACTTTGTTACATATCGCCCAAAAATGAATGGGGTAGTAGAAGCAGCAAACAAGAACATCAAAAGGATCATTACAAAAACTATAGAGACTTACAGAGATTAGCGCGATAAATTACCATTTGTCCTATATGGATATATGATGAACGTGCGTACATCGACAGGGGCAATACCTTTCTCTAATGTATATGGAACGGAGGCAGTCATACCCATTGAGGTTAAAATTCCATCACTTCGAGTCTTGAAAGAAGTAGAGTTGGACGAAGTAGAGTAGATCCAGTCTCTTCTTGATTAACTGAATCTTATTGAAGAAAAAAGGTTGAATGTTATATGTCATGGGAAAATGTACCGAAAGAGGATGATGAGAGCCCACGACAAGAAAGCACGCCCAAGAGAGTTCTGAGAGGGGAATCTAGTACTTAAAAATATTTTGCTGATCCAGAAAGATTTCCGCGGGAAATGATTTCCAATTGGAAAGGACCCTACGTTGTCAAAAAGGCCTTCTCCAGGAGCTTTAATTTTGGTAGAAATGGACAGAAAAATACTAAAATAACCCAATAAATTCAGACTCTGTCAAGAAATATTACACCTAAGAAGAAAAATAAATAAAGAAAAACAAGAAAAAGAAAAAAAAAAGAAAAAAAGAAAAAGAAAATGAGAGGTTCAAGGTGAAAATCCGCAAAGAGAGCCTTGAAACCAAGGAAGGATTTGAGTTGAAAACCCATGAAGGATTTGAGTTGAAAACCCAAGAAGGATTTGAGTTGAAAACCCAAAAGGGCGGCTCAAATACATTTTAATATTGAGGCATCCAACAAATAAACCCCTTCGAGAGATTGGTAGCTAGTGAAGGACTTCACATCTGCAAACATCTCTGCCACCTTGAGGTCTCCCAAACAACGGATAGCCTTGAGACATCAAATTAATGATTTAGGAACATTTGAGCTAGAATTCATTATGACATGTTCTTTTTCTTTCAGAATCTTTGTTCAATACTTTTGATTGCCATGACCTTGTGTAAAACTTACATTTTGTCAATAAATTTCATGATTATCATTTCAATCTTTAATTCATTCATTTTTTCATTCCATACACAACCTAACATAATCTAAATTCTAAACAAGTAATTTCTCGGTATTACTTTTCGATTAACCTATAAAATATTGGGAATTCAAGGTCATCCATCAGGTCGATATTTTCACTCATTAAAGCAAGCGATGAATAAAATGGCGAGGCAAGAAGTGACAACAGTTTGAATGATGCAAAAGTAATGAGAAAGATTATGAATCAGACAAGGAGTGGACAAAGACAAAAACTCGACGTGGATAAAAGAGGGAAACAAAGGCTTAATAGACCTTAAAACCCAAAAACATAAAAATGACATCATGCATACTCAAAGCATTTACTAAATAGGATCATACACATTCATTTTACATCAGGTTTTGAATATCTGACAGGAATTCAAAAAGCCAACAAAGATTCATTTCACAACTTCAGCAAAGAATCAGTCCATATCTTTCGTTGATTGTAACAAATTCAAAGAACTTGAGGTCAATACCTTTGGGTACTTCAAACACCAAATCACTGACATATGATAATCTTTTACAAGTTTAAAAATCTTTAAAAAGAAGATGAACCGATCAATTTCAAATGGAGAGTTTATATTGAGAAGAACTTATCCGACAAAGGGAGAAGAAGTTCATAATGAGAAGAGCTTGTTCGACCTATCGCTTGATTCACGGTATTTCGAATTAGTGACGCCTCGCTTGAGAGATTGATGTTTTCAATGAAGAGTTCATAATGAGAAGAACTTATCCGACAGAGGGAGAAGAAGTTCATAATGAGAAGAGCTTGTTCAATCTATCACTCGATTTAACATTTTAAATCAGTGACGCCATACTTGAGGGATTGAAATTTTCAATGAAGAGTTCATAATGAGAAGAACTCGTCTGACAGAGGGAGAAAAAGTTCATTATGAGAAGAGCTTGTTCAACCTTTCACTCAATCCACGACATTTTGAATCAGTAACACCTCGCTTTAGGGATTGACATTTCAAATGGAGAGTTCATAATGAGAAGAACTCATCTGAAAGAGGGAGAAGAAATTCATAATGAGAAGATCTTGTTCAACCTATCACTCGATTCACGACATTTCGAATCAGTGATACCTCGCTTGAGGGATTGACATTTTCGATGGAGAGTTCATATTGAGAAGAACTTGTTCGACCTATTGCTCGATTCACAACACTTTGAATTAGCCATACCTCACTATAGGGATCAACATTTCCAAAAGAACGATCATGATGAGAAGAAACTACGACTAGAAGAGCAGAGATTGAGTCAAAAATGGCGCTCTATTATCTTTGGTTCATTCATGTTTCATAGAAATGAGCAAAGAGGCACAACTGTGAGCATCATTTTATTTACAAACCCAACTAAAAATAACCCAACCCCCTTTTAAAAATAAAGCCCAACCAAACCCAGACCCATAACCAAGCTAAAACCTCAACCCCAAACCAATTAAAACCCCTAAACTCGAATCACGCTCACCCAGATCCGACCCGACTTGGGCTCACCCTGCTTGGAAGCTACCCACTACACCCAATCAAAACCCACAATTTCCCCCCCAATGAGCATCCACCCGCTTCTGCCCCAACCAAGGACCACCCTGCTCTACACCACTCTCTACAAAGCCATCAAGCACTCCAATAGCACACTCTACGCCACCCTGCAAAAAAGGAAGCAAGAAAAAAAGCAATCAATGATTTTATTTTCAGAGGAAAATGGGTATATAACTCAAAACAACTAATATGTAATGGTATTGAAAAAAAATCCCCCAAAATACACTGTAAAATTCTATTTTCAATCATTAACAAGAGACTTCAGAGGTTATTTATCCTTTACTATTTTTTTATTTTTTATTCTAATGCCTCCTTCTCTATTGATATGTTCATTTCTATTCCAATAGTTAAATATGTTTTCTCTGCTTGATTAAAGCTCGTATTATACCCTATTTTCTAAAATAATTGGTGATAATATTTCTAAGAACAAAACCTTGCATGTTCGAATAAGAAATAAATAGAGTTTTTTCTTTCTTTTCGAATATAATGACACCAAACCTGCTACCCAACAGGAAAATAATATAAAAAATAAAAAAGTGGGAATCAGAGCCATACTTGAGTCGTTGGAGGGTAGTCGAACTGTCTAGGGTCATTTTTGGGTAGTTTGGGGTTAATTTTGGCGTTTTGGGTCCTAAAATAGGCTTTAGGGGGTTAGATCTAGCTTTAGGCAGTCGGACGGCGGTCGGAGCTGGATAGGGATGGCTGGCCTATTGTCGGCCAGGGGAAGGGGAAGCAAATAAGCTTTTTTTGTTAGTATGAATGAAAAACACAAAAATATTGGTATTTATATGCTAATTTAAGGGTCTAATTACATTAAGTCCCCTTGAAACTTTGTCGTGTTTTGCAGTTTGGTCCCTATAGGGACTAAAACTGATATTTTACCTTTATGCCTTGCATACTTTATTTTTTTGTTTATTCACGTTTTAGTCGCCTAGGTTTTAGTGTTTTTTTATATTTTAGTCTAGAAGGGTCCAAATCTATAATTTTCCCTTTTGTTGCCTATTTTTATTTATTTTGGTGAAATTTATTTTTAGTCCCTTTAAGTTTGTCGTAATTTTGCATTTTAGTCATGTGTAGTGACTTTATTTTTTTTAAAATATATGTGGATTGATTATGTAATTTTACTTTTTTATTTAAAGACTACTTTTTGGCTTAATAAAAATGAAAAATTGCTCTTAGATCTCTGTATATTAAGCGTGTTTTGTATTTTAGTCACTAATCTGTTTAGTTTTATTTTATTTCGAATTAGACTTTAATTTTAATTTGTTTTAATTTAGCCCCCTTTTTTCATGTTTAATTTATTCCCTTTTAGTTTACCAATTTCAAATTAATGCAATTAAGTCCTCATATTTATGTTTATGTTTATGTTTATTTTTTTTTATTTTTTGTTATTTTTTTTGTTTTTTAATTTGATTTATTGTTTTATTGTTTTATTTAAGTTTATTAAATGTTTCATTTTTTTAATAATGTAGATTCTTAGATTTAATTTTAACATTCGAATCAAGCTTAGCAATTAGGAAGACACTCTAGTTTAATTAGGGAGCAATTCGAGTCAAGTTTTCATATAAGATGCTCGATTACTCGAATTGATTACAATCGGTTACGAACAAAGGTTCTTCATGGTATGTCTCTATTTGAGAAGTTATTTGGGAAGAAATCAAATTACCACATGCTCAGGGTGTTTGGATGTCGTTGTTTTCCCTATTTGAGGCCATTTAATCGGCACAAGCTAGAGTTTCGGTCACAACCATGCACGTTCTGATGAATTAGCCCTTGTCACAAAGGGTTTCAATGTCTTGGTGCTGATGGTCGTGTGATTGTGTTAAGGCACGTTGTGTTTGATGAATGACATTTTCCTTTTGTCGAGACAAGGATTAGTAAACGTTGGACTGCTTATTCAACGGTGCCTCAGTATCTTGAAGTTGTAATCGATATGCGCAAACTTGATAAACATAGCACTCTAGCTCATGTTCCTACTGGCGTTGGTATTCGTACATAGACGACCACT